GATCGAGTATGATAAGATGATGAAGGGATCAAGTAGAGGTGATGAAGTATGGATCGAGTATGTGGAGAAATGGATCGAGTATGATGAAATCGAGCGATGGTGAAGAGATAAGATCGAGTATGATGTTGAAGTGATGATGGAGTGGTGATCGAGTAAAGATGGTGGTCGAGTAGTGATGATGATAGAACGGCGTTGGTGATCGAGTAGTGAGGTAAACAAACAGATCGAGTGACTTGTGAGGGTTGGTGATCGAGTATGGAATGATGTGATCGAGTAGAATGGTAGTGATGGACGGTGTGATCGAGTAGGTAGATGACGGTGTGGAATGGACGATGCGATCAAGTAGGTAGGTAATCGGTCGGCTTGAGGTGATCAAGTGGTCGAGTAGGTGAATGATTCAATGAAGGTGGGATCGAGTAAAAGTGATGGTGATGGAATGATGAGATCGAGCAAGTGAGTAGATGGGGGTCGAGTAGAACTTCCAAAGGTTGCGACATTCCTTTGAACTTTTGGGCTTGATCCTGCTGGGATATGACACACCAAGAGCATTCACAAGTTGAGAAAGGATATGACATACCAATCTCGTGATCAAACAGAATCAAAAAGAGATTTCGATAAGAAAAAGTTTGATGACGTTTACAAAGGAGAAGAAGAGAATATAAAGATGTAGAAGAGGTCCAGGGAGATGAAGAGTTATCCTAGGGAAAAAAAACAACATTAAACACACACAAGACTAAATTTGAATTCGAAATAGGCTTCTCCTTGGCAATGGGCTGCAAGACAACAATGGGCTGTAGTAAAGAGTGTGTGGGCTTGCCTCGTTAAAAACCTCTCTTGGAAAACCCAATGGGAAAAAACCAAAAAGAGGGGAAAAGAGTGCAAGTCACACACCTCCATTATTGTCGCTTAAACGGCTTGAATAACAAACAACGTGGTTGGACAAGCTTCTCGTTTAAGACTGCCCTCAATAGGTTGTAGAAGTGTTGTGGTGATGACTTGATTTAGTAGCTTAGTTTTTGACCATGTCATGGAACCAGTAGCAGCATGCAATGCAACATCCTTTTCAGCTCTCAGTTCTTCACCTCTAGGCTCCTTAGCTTCATGAGTGATCGAGTATCCCCTTGGTGCAGCTCCATACTCAATCACATCCTCATCTTGGTGTTCGAGCATGTCTTCAACATGATGGTCTAGTATGTCTTTAAACTAACCCTTAGTTCCATGTCCTAAGCTTGACATTATCACATCATCCTCTCCCAGTTGAAAATAATTTGACCTCAATAAAAGGAACAAAATAAGTAACATTAAAACCTTGTACTTACCTTGGAGATCAGGTTGATATTCTTGGTAGTTGATATGTTTGAAAGCTTGAAAAAATCTATCCATCATTGGCTTCAGGTTCAGCTTGTATATCCCATCTAGTGGTGCTTCCTTTATCAATATGAAACTGCTGATGCCTTGAGGTTTATTTTTGCTCTTCTCCATGAGTTTTGTCCCTTGTTTCTCTAGTTCCTTGGTCTCCACGGTATTAATCCTATTTGCTGGTTTGTTTGGCAAGGATGCTTCGAGAATAAAGTTGGTATTATGCTCAATGCATCTGATGGGTGTTAAGACTTCTGGTTCGTTCTTTGAAAACACATCTGTACGTTCCTGCAAGTGACGCTTAATTTTGCTAGGTATGACCTGCTCAGGGTTAGTCAGACTCCCAAGAGCTCCTTATAAATAAATAGTAGCTTACACGGCTTGAATAACAACCAATGTGGTCTAGATATACCTCATGAGGAGTCATAGACCAATGTGGTCTTGACATCACTCGATCCATACTACTCAACCTCTTCACACAACCACTCAACCACACCTTCACAAACCTACTCGATCACCAATACTCACACCATACTCGATCCGTCTCCTCACTTACTCGATTCACACACACAAACATAAACTCTATCACAAATCACAATAGCCAAAACAATTGCATTTTCAGATATAATCTCAGCCGTCACTTTCGTGTTCTCTCGATCGATGATCTCTTTTGCTTCTTCTCCTGTTTTCCCCACTAATTTAGGCCATGAACTCTTCATCCCTTCTCCTGCAGTCTATTCATATATACACAATACATATAAATTACTAAATTATGATAATTCTATGATCCCTTTATGATTGATTATCATCTATCAACTATCATGCATGCATGCATGTGTTAAAACTAGGGGTGGGCATTTCGGTTTAACTTCGGGTTCGGTTTGGGTTCGATTTATTTGGGTTTCGTAAAACTCTAACCAAACTCAACCGAAGTTAGTTTGATTCGGTTTGTGTTTGGGTTAGTTTATATTTGGTTCGGTTTGGTTCAGTTCGGTTTTACTTCGGTTCGGTTTGAGTTCGGTTCAAAAAATTAATTAATATAACAAAACAAAAATATGAAAGAACATAGAATGAAATATAAAAGTCTTTTGAGTTTTACTCTTTATAAGTTAGAAGGAGAACCCTAAGTTTTTTTAGGGTTAGAGTTTTAGAGATAATTAAATCTAATTTACATTTATTCAAATTATTATAAAATTAAGAATAAACACATATTTAGTTATTTATAATAATATTAATATAATTAACTAATTAATCAAATAAACACATTGGGTTATCGGTTCGGTTTGGTTTTAAACCGAACCGAACCGACCCATTTGGGTTGAGAATAAACCCAACCGAATGGTTTGAGTCTAAGCTAGGGTTCGGTTTAGGTCGGTTTGAGTTCGGTTGGGTTGGGTCGGTTCGGTTCGGTTCGGTTTAAATGCCCACCCCTAGTTAAAACTTTTAATGGAAATTCAGGAATTCCAAAATACACATTGAAAAAAAAACTATATAACATTTTTCTTATCAAAAAGAAAACCAATATTACTTCTTTATAAAATTGAGAGTCTATTCGAATATAAACTCTATATACATGTTAAAAGATGGTGTATATCTAAAATACCTGGGCATACGTCCGACATTTCACTTCTTCTTCTTTTTTTTTTCTTTTTTTTTTTAATATTCTAGAGGTTATAAATTTTGAAGATTATTGTACAAGAATCGAATGGCTATATTTATAGAGAACTCATGTGGTGGCTATTCACTATAATGGTATGCCTTTTTTAAAAAAGATTTCTTAAAAAATTAAAGTAATCTTTTATTACTTTCAAAATATAGATTTATCTCAGCTTTGTCTCACGAACTAGTTGTTCCTAGACTACAATAATAATTAATAACAAAGAAAAAGTCCAAACTAAAATCACGATTAGCACGATATGTTATTAAGAAAAAGTTTGATAGAAAAAAATTTATCTTTTGAAATATCTCCTACTCGTTTAGTTGTGCATTTTTATACTAGATAAGACTCGTTCCATGCACGAACAAATTTTACGCTATTTAAATGATATGAATAATGTTTTATAATATATATATATATATTTTTTTTTATTTGGTTTTATAATATGTCTTAAACACAACTTAAAAATTATATATATTACTGGAGGAGTCCCAAATCTCCAAGATATATTGGTTCGAATATGTGACTGTGGGTTAAAAGTTTTATAGGTTTTATTAGATATATGTATATATATATATATATATCTATATCTGTGTATATATATATATATCTAATAACATATATGTATAGTACAATTAATTTTTAATAGATATACTTAATATATAAGTTATATAATGAAAGATAATATAAATAGTTGGAGTTGAAAAATGCCATTTTCTCAACTTCATATATGTATATATATTTTGTTGTGGGGATTGCTCGGCGAATTAGACATGACCACGGTTACGGTTATAATTTATTTTAACCCCAACCTTAACCAATATATATACGGTTAAAACGGTTATGGTAAAATATGGTTACGGTTACAGCAGTTACTGTTACAGTTATTTGATGATTACGATACGGTTAATATCGTAAGCCAAATTTTACAAATTATCCGACCTTTTATATTGTTTTTAGTAAGATGAAAAATATATTGTACATCAAATTTTATATATTTCGAAAAATAGTTGTTTGAGAAAAATAATATTTTCCTTAACGTAGATTTTTTTCATATACAATATCATTTAACGATGATTTTTTCATATGAAGTATCATTTTTTTTTTAAATCTTTATAAGAACATTCAATACTTGTTTTTGCATTATACAAAATTATAATTATATTTGTAAGATTTTTAGTTTGAACTGTACGGTTAACTATGCGGTTAACCGTACGCTTAATTAACTATGCGGTTAACCGTACGCTTAATTAATTATACGGTTAACCGTACGCTTAATTAACTATGCGGTTAACCGTACGGTTAATTGACGGTTTTGATACGTTTACGGTTAATTAACGATTACAGTTAGTGTATTTTTTTTACCGTATCTAATATATTTTTATAGTTAATGGTTATAGTTTTCAACCGCTTTATACAGTTACGGTTTAAAAACGGTCTGATTACAGTCCAAAATACGGTTATGGTTAGATTTTGGTCATGCGTAAGGCAAATTCTTTTTGCGCTTTTGTTTATTTTTTGTCTTCTGTAATTGTTTTTGAAAATGTGAAAAAGGTACAAAATATATCAACGTTATCCATTATGCAAGGGTAAAAAAAGTAAAAAGAGAGAGAGTGGATCTAAATGAACTAAAACAAATAAAAAATGTTATTACCACAAAATGAGGAAAATATAAGGTTGGTGTTTCATATCTATTAGTCATCGGACTATTTGCCAGCTGCCACGTCACATAGATGAACATCATCCCAATGTGTATGCCATTATTTGTGATGAATTACAACATGGTTGCTTATAAATTAGAATTCGTTTTAATTTAATATATAGTAAGTTGTGGGTGACTTGAACACAATCCAATAAGTCTTATCAGATCCTAACGTTTATATTATTACTAAATTTGGCTGGCTTTTAAGACTTTATACAATGACTAAAATAAATTGGGATGTCAATTTTGAACAACTGATGTACTTAATCTTCAGAATCTACAAAGTCTATAAATACCATGTTTGTTATCATGGAGAAGAACCCAATACAAAACTCAAATCACATAAATCTTCAAATCAATACATTTTTTTCCAAGAAAATATCAGATGGCAAGCATATGCGAAGGTACACATACTTATTAACCATCATTTTGTCATTCAGTTCACTTTGGATTTTGTTTTTAGTATAATTACCAAAAAGTATATATAAAATTCGAATAAATTGAATTATACCAAATTGGATATATATAGCTATAATATAGTATAGTATATATATATATATTAAAACCACGTTAATTTACATATTATTATCTCACTTTCATGTATAATCCAAAAGAAACAGAAATTGCAAACCAAATCTAGTATGATTGTATGAATATATATATATATATATATATATATATATATATATATATATATATCTATTTGAGTATTAGATTGTAACGTGATGGCTAATCCAGAAGTTTTGGTCCAATATAATGATGATGTGTTAATAAATTGAAGAAATTTAATAAATAATAAATGGACAGATCCAGGAAAAAGCTCATGGCCAGAGCTTTTGGGGGCAAAAGGAGAAGATGCAAAAGAAGTGATCGAAAGAGAGAATCCCAAAATGAAAGCAGTTATCATTTTGGATGGAACAGCTGTTCCTGAGATCTTTATTTGCTCTCGTGTTTACGTTTGGGTCAACGATTGCGGAATCGTTGTTCAAATTCCCATCATCGGTTAATTATAATTATATAATTGGTATCAAACATTTAAAATACTCTATAACTATATAATTCGTATTAAAATGTAATAATGAAGATATTGTTATGATCTCTGGTTGTTATATCATGCTATCTCAATGTCTCATAAATAAAATTAATGATTATGACTATTCTTTTTTTTTTAATCTAATGTGAAATTATATTCAAAAAAAAATTACGTTTTTACAACCAACTGCTACTTAAGTTTGAAAGAGACTATTCTTTTTCATCTGTGATTAGTTTTTATTTGTTTCTAGGATTATTTATCAATGGCTATATTTGCTTTGTAACTATTGTGATGATGGCTCTTTTTTCATTGCTTTGTTTATATTTTCAATATATAATATTTCTAAAAAGATATTTTTTTTTTTGGTAGGAATATTTCTAAAAAGATATTGTACATGCAAATACATTTTCTAAATCGTCGCTGAATAATGAAGAAATAGTGACGAAGTCAAATAATCCATCGCAAAGTCATGAATGACTAAGAGGAAGTCAAATCTTTGAAATATGTCGTCATTAATAACAAGTTTTATACATTTTCTTTTTGCAAATAGTGATGTTCTAGAATGTTTTTTTTTAAAACGTTATTTATTAAGAACCCAGTTGAGTCCATGACATTATGTTATAAAGTTTTTCTAAAGCTACAAAAAATATAAAGAAAAGGTACATCAAAATGTACAGTTACAATCGAATCAACAGCTTCAATTGACTTAATGGCTAGGTTGTTGGAGAATATTAGCCACGACCACCTCGTTTCCCACGGCCTCTGCCTCTTCCACGACCTATGGTTTGTCTATGCATCTCCTTAGCCTTTGTTCATATAGTTTAACCAGAGCCGGCTCTAAGGTTTCGGATGCCACAAGCAAATAAAAAAAAAGGGCTGTACTTTTGCATATTTATTAAAATATATTTAACAAAAAAAAAAACCAAAAAAAAAAATAAAAGATATAGTTAAGATTCGAACTGGAGTTTGTCATCTGGAAAGGAAGACCGGGACCACTACACTAAAGGAACATTTTTGAAAATAGAGGCCGAAAATTTTATATATTATTAGAGGCCGCAAGCAAATGTTTCATGGGTCTGTGTCATGGACCGGCTCTGGGTTTAACCGGCCTTTCTCCAATGATTCTTTTACCCGAAGAAGTCATAAAATCCATTGAATATCAGATTCGTTGTCTGAATCTGACAAATCTTCTTCCTCATCCCAAGAAGCCAATGAGACAAACTAATTAGAACCAAGATTATGATCAGCAGATTTAGCCCTCTCCCTCCCTGTGGAAAGTAGCATTTACAAGAGCATGAGTTGTGACTGATGATTGTGCAGTTAAGATACTCGATAGATACAAAAGTTGGTGGAAATTTTGTTGAAATTTTCTTTGTGCAGTTCTAGAATTATCTTTATTATAAAAGAATATAATTTCACATTTTCAATGTGAATTTGTTTATAAAAAGCTTTATACTGTAATTTTTTATTTACCCAAAAATCGTCTGTCCATTCGAGTTAAGGTTACATATGAATAGATATTTACTTATATTTTTAATTTTTTTATGTAACCTGAGGAGTGTTCCGCGAGGAATTAACAGTCTGACAATTGGCTATTTTAGACGACGCTCTTCACATGCAGATCGCTTTACTTCGCTTGTCTTTGGGGAGAAATCTCTAGCTCACACGAGCCCTAGCAAACAAAATCAAAGTGTAACGAACGAAGTTCGGACATATCCGAAAGAACGCTAGCCGAGGTATATATATAAACTACGAGAAAACTAGATATCAAAAGTTGACTTTAGAAAAGAGCTCAAAAGTTGACTTCAAAGTTAATTTAATTATTCCATTAATTGAATAGAACATATATAACTTTATGATCATTATAAATAAACATACAAAACTAGGTATATATATGCCACGTTTCTTTATTACAACATTCACAACAACAAGCACATCTTATATTTCACACATACATCACATATTAAGATCCATATTGATTCACACACACATATCTATAATAATTCAGTTAACCAACGACAGGGGTTCGTGTGACAATGCCATTGTCATTGACACGAACATAAACCCTATCACAAACCACAACAGTCAAAACAACTGCATTTTCAGATATAATCTCAGCCGTCACTTTCGTGTTCTCTCTATCGATGATCTCTTTTGCTTCTTCTCCTCTTCTCCCCACCAATTCAGGCCATGAAGTCTTCATCCCTTCTCCTGCAGAATCTATACATATACACAAAACATATAAATTACTACATTGTTTGTTTATAGAAAATAAAATTAAAAAACACTACATTATGATAATTCTATGATCGATTTATGACTGATTATCAACTATCATGCATGCATGCATATATACGTAGAAATAAATTACATATCAGAATCGTCTCAAAATATTTGTAAATCTTCTGCAACTTTTTAGTTAAACCATATATTTGATGTGTTAATTTTTTTGTACGGAAATTTAGGAATTCCAAAATATTCGTACTTAAAAAGAAGTGTAGTACTTATTTTATGAAATTGAAAGCCTATTTGAGTATACTAATTGTACATGCTAAAAGATAATATATATATCTATAATACCTGGGCATACTTCCGACATTTCTCTTCTCTTTTTATTTTATTTTTATCCTCTCTTTCTTCTTTGGTTGGTTATGATTTATGATTTATGAAGATTTTAAAAGAACCAAATGGCTATTTATAGAGAACTCATGTGGTGGCTATTAACTTTCTTTAAGATATGTATACATGAAAAATTGAAAACATGGAGAAAGAAAGAGGGATTCGTACGCTTTTGACCCAACGTGATATTGCTTTCAAAAAATTTCATTTATATATGTCAACATTTTCACCTACTTTAGATACACATCAGAAAATAGATAAGGCTATGTGACACACGCAAATGTGTGAACAATATGATTATATATTATAATGTTTAGTCTTTAACAAAAAATGATAATAATGTTGAATCGGGCAAGTCGTGGGTGGTTTGATTACGGTATGTAGACCGTAGGCACTCGTGAATCTAAAGCCTATATTTCTGAAATTGGTGGCCATTTTACGTAAGAAGATATTTTCCATAATTTACAAGTTTTCTTCCACAAAATCTATCTTTTATTTCATTTTTTCACAATCTATACAAGTCATAATATTTTTCGGTCATGAAGTCTTTCATCTAAAAATAGGTGTTTGCTGACGTATATATCTATGTCATATGTATATCTTCTTTCTTTTGTCGACCAAATAAAAAAAAAAACTCTTCTTGCTTTTATTTTTTTTTCATTGAATATTTTTGTGGAAACCATTTATATTTGATTAGTTCAAGTTGACTTTGTTTGTCATAGTTCTATCCACAAACGTATTCGCATTTGCATTCACACATTAAATACTAAGTGAAAATAATTAAGTTGGCTCATTTGATGATCAATTAACTTTAAAAATTGTTATTATTAAATAAAAAACCTATAGAGAAAAAAAAGATTCATTTGAAACAAAGAGGACGAAAACTCTCTTTACACAAATGTTTTTTGCTTTCCATCTTTATATAATAAACATTACAATGCAATGCCACTCCTTAAACCCAAAGCTATTCAGTGTCCGTTCGATGGCCTGAAGTCTCTATAGCCGTTGATTCCAGACAAGTTCGGGTTTGATGAATCTAAATCAAAGTAAGAGTAAGTAGCTGATGCTGATGCATCGTCTTGGTTCCTCATAGCCCGTAAAGACAAGTCCATTGCCATCTGCCATTGCGATTGTGTTTGTCCATTACCATATGGCGAAGAAGAACCAGAATGTGGCATGTATTCACCGTAAGACTGGTGAAATCCATCATCACTGTAACTCCTAGACCTGCCAGAGATCCCGAGATCAGCACCACCATGGTATGAGTACTGGTTGTTGAACTGTTGTGGTACATGGTATACACTACTGTCCATTGAACCGTGTTCGTCTTCAAGCAGATCATTGATGATATCAAGGTGAGGGAACTCATCGGTCATCTGCGCCGTTCTCCCAATCTGGACATTAGTAGGCCTGATGCTGGTAGTTACTACGGGGGTGTTGTAAGTGTTCGTTTTATGATTCCCGCTGATGGTTGTTGTTGTATCTCTGTTTGAACTCGAACCACCGGTCCACAAGAGCCCACCAGAAGAAACATCCCAAGAGCCAACATTGATAGGGAAACCAGACTGACTTGATACTGAGATAGGAGACGGATGTGAATAAGGCGGCAATGTGCTTGTTCCCGTTGATTGAGTGCTTGAGTGGGTGAAACCAGATGAACCCACTATGGCATGTTTATAGGATTGAGGATTGTAAGCTTGGCTATGTATCGGTGAACCTAAACGGCCTGTTGAGCTCATTGAACGAGCAAGGGACGCAGCCGAGGTTGTTTGAACAGCAGATATTACAGGTGCAGCTTGCTTTGGGGGGATTATAGGAGCACTCAAAGGCCTTGAGATAGAAGGTGCTGGTTGTGCAACCGGTTTTGGAGAAGCGGTTTTCTGTATATCAGCTCTAAGACCCACAGTTTGCAACTTAGTCTCACGAGATGGTGATGCTTGATCTGATGAAGGTGATCTAGCAGATGCTACTTTCCTGTTTGGAACTGCATCTACATTTGAAACAACCGTTTTCTCCGGTTTTGCTAGCACTAGAGATGGAGGATTCCAAGGAGCAGCTCTGGATGGGGAAAGTACGGCAGCAGTTTTCTCTTTCATCTGAATCACGGTGGGATCCTGCAAAATAAGATTATAGTCATTCAATGTTGATATGCATATCACTTTGGGTTGAAGGTAAACCAACACCCCTTCTGGAATTCGTTTTACGAAACCAAGAATCCAATCAAGACTTCCCTCTTTACATATATATCTTCCAATTTCCAACATTGCAACTATAAAAGTATGAGTGAACCACACCTTGCTAACAGGACTACGTTCCCCCGGGCTCTCTGGTTTTTGAATGTGGGAGATAACCGCATCAGCTTCACCAACTCTGCGTTTCTCAGAAGAATGGCTCTGATTTTTAGGGTCAGACGCAGGTCTCGAAGGTTGATCCTCTTTTTCACTGGCTAAACTGCTGGCATCAGATACTTTTCCTGGTTGTGTTTTTCCACTGCACATCACAAGGTATGTTAATAGGATGTTGAACAAACAGATAAAGTAAAGGACGCTGCAAAAAAAAAAAGGTTTACTTACTTGATATGCCACTTCTGGCTTAGGCAATTTACTACATTCCCTTTGTATGAACCATTGGCTACCCCTGATCTTATCGAGTCATTAGAACAGGTTGAAGAACTATCATCCATTGTGGACAGACCTTTTCTTTCTGCTGCAACTCCATTAGGTATACATAAGGAATTGCCTATTCCTCTGCTAGTGTCTCCTGAAGAAAGAGGATTAATCTCTGAGGCATCTATTTCCCAATGAACAGGACTACTCTCTCTATCTTCTGAATCAAGCTGAAGTATTTCAGCTGAACTATCTACTGAATCAGAAAGGTCAGAGACATCTCCAAGTGTGTCAGGTTTTTCAGCTGACGATTCTGCTTTCGCTCTCATACATTCCTCTTTCTCAATATCCCTTTCTTCTGTTTGGGTTTTCACCTTCTCTTCTTTCTTTTTTTCCTTTCCTTTGTTTTTGTTCTTTTTCTGTTTCGCCTATGAGTTCCAAACAATCAAGAATCTCCATTAGGCACCCCCAACAAGTTGGTTATGGCATTATTTATTTTGGTAGTAACAGAAGTGTAAGGAAGGACCTGTTTCTTCTTAGATTTCTTCTCTTTTTCGGATGGTCCTCTTTTGGCCTTCTGTTCGCTTTCTGCCAGCCACGCTTCCTCCTCTTCACGAATAAGTTCTTCTTGCCGTTTCCATGCAATAGCTTCTTGGTATGCAACTTCAATTTTGTTGCTGCATTTCTCAGAAAGATTGCAGTGCTATACATGAGGTACAGCTAAGAACACAAAGACACACAATACCAGAAGACCAGAAATAGAAAACAAACACTATCAGCGGTTTTAGACTAAGATCTTGACGCATGTATGAGCTTGTAAACAAAGTTTATGCTTATGATTGATTTGTATAGAAGTTTTAAAGCTAATGAAAAATTATGCCTGCTGCACCAAAAAACAGAGGAAAAATTGTGCCTAATTACCTGAAGATATGTGCAAGAACAAATATCTCCACAGTCCGTCTACCCAACTCAGTTAAACGCCTCTCATCACGCTCAATGGCTTCTCTACTGAATTCCTCTCCAGCATTCCCATCCTAGATTCGGATGGAATAATAAAAAAATTATTTATACACATAACACCAAGTCGATAAGGAGACAAGTGCTCATGTTTCAAGCATTTTTACATGGATAACAAAAAGTCAAAATGCACCACCGCACATGATAGCAAATCATGAACTTCAATTAAACTAACCTTCGTGCGGTTTTGGGGACTTTTTTCCTCTTTTGTAGGCAATGGCTCCACAGCAGCCCTCTCTAAGAGTAATAACACATCATCAACTAATGCAAACGTATCTTTGTCCACACTAACAATTGGAGCTGGCAATTCTTCAGTATCCATTAGTCTCGGCCTAGTTTTCTTGTTCTTAATTTGGCCTTCAAGAGCCTTCAACCCAGTATACAAGGAATCCATCACCAAAGTAGATGTAACTTCCTTCTCAATGAAGAATTGTTTTACAACTATTTTTAGAATCACATCCATTTTCTCTCGGGACATTCGACGCCTTGAATTTTGGTCCAACCCCATCCAGAAAGCACAGAAGCTGCACCAAGGAATAACAATCACTTCCTTATATAGTGGCCTACACTAGCTTGGGATCAATCCCGGCCTCGACAGCTATTTGTGATTACATATCTGGAATCAGGAGGAGATGAGTGTAAATGTGAAATACCTTTTCCATTTTGCCTTGTCCTCTATCAACCTACCAAGCTTGCTTCTTTTCTCTTCCACAAACCGCCAGCAAATTTGCTCTACATTTGTCAAATACACCCGAACAAGTTCCTCCCTATACTTATAATGAAGGCAGCGAAAAGGTCGGTCCACCCTCTCTCTGCAAGAATCAATTTACAGAATTATCCACAATGCAACAAAAAAAATAAAATAAAACTATGGTGTGTATATGGTCAGAAAAGTTTTTAAACACGTGTGGACTGACACATGATGACTTTAGGTAAACTTAATTTTGCATTTACCTGATCACCTGGACTTGAGCCTTAATTGTAAGACAATCATAATCATCTATGAACCCTTCCTTTAATTTAGGTGACTCAATAAACTTTTTCCATCCCCAATCATGTTCTTTTTTCCAAAACCGGTGTAACGTATCTGCAAGAAAACCCCGTTCAGTTTGACTGCGTAAACAGGATATAAAGAAAGTAAAAGATGCAAAAGGTAACCTGAATGCTTTGATTTCTTTGGATCTTTATTCGACACAGCTATAGTAAACTGAGCAAAATGACTCCAGCCTGTCAAAACCTAAATGATAAGGTTTCCGGTTCGAGAGTGTGAAGCTAAATGGAAAACAATACTCACCTGGAAGAAGTTTTTCATGGTGTGCAACACAGAGAAACAAAGAGAGATGGTTGCAAACATCACACCCTTGTGGATAAATTAATATATACCTACCACAAGAGGAATATA